AATTCAACAAAACAATGGCTGCAACAGCACAGAATACGCCTTCTGGAGTGGCCCAGTCAGAGTCCTGACCTCAACCCGATTGAAATGCTGTGGCATGACCTTAAGAGAGCGATTCACACCAGACATCCCAAGAATATTGCTACACTGAAACAGTTTTGTGAAGAGGAGTGGTCTAAAATTACTCCAGATTGTTGTGCAGGTCTGATCTGTAACTACAGGAAACGTTTGGTTGAGGTTATTGCTGCCAAAGGAGGGTCAACCAGTTATTAAGTCCAAAGGTTCACATACTTTTTCCTCCCTGCACTGTGAATGTTAACATGTTATGTGCAATTAAACCATGGCAACATCTAATGTTTGTGTAGTATTATGTTCAGCAGACCGTGTTCTTCTATTGTTGTGACTTAGATGACGTTCAGAGCACATTTTATGCCCAATTCATGCACAACTCCACGTAATCCCAAGGGGTTCACATACTTTTTCTTGCAACTGTACAGTGGGGTCTAAATATGGTCTGGAACGTTAGTGCAGAGGAAACGCCAATCCAGATAGCTACTTATAGAGACCAGCTCAAGCAGTGATGTAGCAGGAATCCTGGTTAAAGGAAAAAAAAAAATAGCTAGCAACAATACATGGTATAGTGCTGTGCGCAAACTGTTGGCAACATATAAATCCTGTATAATAATAATAAATAAAAAGAATAGACTTTTCTCTCCGCATCATACAATCAAAAAAAATCTTCTAAGACACTAGCATAAAACTAAAGCATGCTGGGAACAAAAGGAATTATACTGGAGTAGCCTACAAATTTTAAGTTAGCCAGTGTCCAAACCCTCATGTAGGTGTATCCTGTAGTATAACATGACAGACCCCAGCATTTCTGTGTCCATCACTTAACAAGAAAGAAATTACATTTTTTGGAAATAAAAGGAAGAAACCAGGAGTGAAATCTCCTGCTTGTACTCTTGGCTCCACCCACCTGCAATGACCATTACACATTCAGTATTCACCAGTTATAAAGAGTAAAGTAGAGAGAGACTCCTTTGTAATGGATGCAGAGGGGTGCCACACTTGTGATTCCAAGAGGGGTATCTGCAATATGCAGTTCAATTTGGGGCACCAATGGAAGAGCTCAGCTATGGGGAAAGATTAGAGGAACTGAATTTATTCTCTCTTGAGAAGAGGAGATTAAAGGGGGATATGATCAACATGTATAAATACATCAGTGGTTCATATAGTGCACTGGGTGTAGGAGGTATTCACCCTGAGGTCATCACAGAGGACAAGGGGGCACTCTTTACGTCAGGAGGAAAAGAAATTGAATCTTCAAACACAGAAAGGTTTCTTCACAGTGAGAGCTGTGAAAATGTGGAATAGACTCCCTCAAGAGTTGGTTCTGACCAGCTCAGTGGATTGCTTTAAATAAGGCCTGTATTCTTTCTTGGATATACAGAATATAACTGGTTACTATTTATAGGTAAGTTGATCCAAGGAATATCCAATTGCCTCTGGGGGATCAGGAAGGAATTTTTTTCCCTTGAAGGAGCAAATTGGATCATGCTTTGCTGGGTTTTTTTTGCCTTCCTCTGGATCAACTGTGGGTATAGGATTATAAATTTTTTTTTTTATGGTTTAACCGGATGGACTTTTGTCTTTTTTCAGCCAGACTAACTATCTTAACAATGCAATTGTAAAAGTTAGAGGTAGTGTTTAGCAGAAAACAAAATACCTGGTTTTAGGTGGGGTCATTCTTTAATATGGGAAATAAGAAAATAAGTATAGAATATGGATTTTAGCCTCCAAAAATCTAAAATTCAAAAATAGTAATTACTAAGTCAAAAATGTTATAAAATATATTAGTGTGCATTTGAAGAAGAGAAACCTTACATTGTGTTGAAAATGTTGCATGTTTATGTTGTTAAAAATAATTATCTCTACCACTTGTTAGGCTCCATGCACACGGGGTGTTTTATTAATGCTGGTAATGTTCGCTGTGTAAAGTCACATTAAAAACTTACGTTTTTTCATCGTTTTTAGTATTTTTGTATTAGCATTTAGCGGCGTTTTGAAGTGTTTGTAGTTTTTCACATTTTTTAGAGGGTTTTTTTGACCAAAAAGAAACTTTTTTTTTAGTAAAAAAAAGTCCAAAAAAGCTGGTTTGCCATGATTCACCGCGATTTTTCAGTGTTAGAGCATTTTTTACAGCTAAAAAACTCCTCTAGAAACCCACTAGTCCTGTTTTTTTTTCCAGACAAAAAATGTCCCTGACAAAAAAAAAACGTTGATTACAGTCTATGTGTACATGGACACATAGGGTAACGTGGAGCGTGGTAACGAGGAGGAGCCCCACCACGCCGTGACGTCACGCCGCCGGAGCAACGTGGAGCTCCGGTGGCCATCTTACTACACCAAACGGTCAGTCCCTAACAGACCACTGTCTGCAACGATTTATGTTTAAATTTTACCTTGATGCATCACAATAAAATATCTTTTTAAAATTACTGCACTATGGGAGTATCCTTGTCATCCCCTGGGGGAGTACTTTAGTCCACAGACACACTCCCGGGATGGATTACTGCTACCCAGCCTAACCAGAGGGATACTACCTACCAGGATCATATAGGGGGACCCCTAGTGGAAGAGGACCACCAGCCTCATACCAAACAGAGGGAGGACCACCCACTATCAGAGGACATCTGGATTGTTTTATACACAAAAGCGCATTTGTTATGCGTGTCCGGTGAGTGCGCATTGCTTTATCATTACCACACAGATACCAGACTTTTAAGTCACCTGAGCACTTATATCTTTTTTTTGATTTGCTGGACTATCTTTTGAATTTATATGTATATATATATATTTACCATCTAATAAGGACCTATTTCCATTTTATTGGTTTTAATATCAAGCGCTGCACTTTATATATACATTGCTACTTCTTAGGGTGATATTGGTACCTTTCTTTGTGCACAGCAGCTTGTTTACCTATATACTTAGGCGCCTGTACTACTCATTGCATACAGTGCTGGGGAGTTCACTAGCTGTAGAAGAAATTGTCAAAAGCCAAAAAGAGCAGCTGTAAAAACGTCCAGTGTGCATGAGGACTTATCTTTTATATTTTAAATGTTTTTGTATAACATTTATATCTTGGGCTTCCAAGTTATTGTTTTTTTTTCTCTGTAGCCTTTTTAAAAATGTTCTGTAGATTTTTTAGTTGTACAACCAAAAGACTGTAAATAATTAGCCTTGAATCTTGCTGCCACTGTTTTTTCACTAAAGCTGCATCTCTTTAATAGTGTTTCTCTTTCCCATACTCCCAGAGCTTCTCTATTGATGGACAGAATCAATAGACAAATAAAAATTGGAGCATTTCAGGTGTAGGAAGCTATGGCAGTCTAAGTACAGCATGGTCTACTATAATTTACAAGCACTATTTTTATTTCAGCTGTATAACTTTTACAGAGGCTTTTCAAACAAAATAACAGATGACATGGATAATGAAACAGGCACGCCAAGTTTCCATTACTCAGGATATGACTTATCCTTTTCTTAGACAGCTTCCATTGGGTTTTGCTGTACTGAATATAATGACCTTTACCTGTCACTGGTACAACCATCAAGAGGAAAACTGCATCAGAATAAATAACCACAGTTCCCTGCAAACTACCCAAACCATGGTTATCTTGGGATGTTTTTTTGTCTGGTCAATCTTCACAGGCAGTTTATTAGGAATGTGGCATTGGCAAGAAAGTGTGATGCATGAGTACAGGGTAGGAAAAAAACTAGGAGTATCCATTTTTTTCAGCTTTGAATTGGCGATCTTGAAGTCTCATAATTTATATGTTTTTTTTTTGGTAGCAGATAGGCTAAGCACTAGCACTCTTGCATTACAGCACTGGGAACATAATTGAATTCCCACCAAGGATGTCTTTGTGAGTTTCATTTTCCTCTACAATTTTAAAACATATACGCCCTGTCTGCAGCACATACATTGGACAGGAAGCTGGATTCCCACCACATCCACTCTATTTAATGCACTCTGATGCACACTAAATACATGTGCGTTGAGATACATTTTAAGGTAGTACATTACTTGGATGTTCTTTTTTATAATGCACTGCATTGATGTGCAGAGATTTTTTGTAATCACTGCAGCAGCCAAAATACAATTTTCTTTAATTTCCTTAATATGCATTGTAGCATGCTGCATTTAAATGCAACGTGTTCCATTTTCATTGTGTTGGTGTTCTGCTTATCATTGTGTTGGGTCTGTATTGAGTAAAGCAGCTCAATGCAGATCAATGGATGTCATGTGACTGGGTCCATAGGCTTTGAATTACTGTGTTTCCTGTCAAAGAGATCTCCCCTCACTTCTTGCAGGCTCAACAAAAGTAGGAAATCTTTCTGAAATGAAAGGATATTCTTTTTTAGTCATATACAGTTGCCCCCATGAGAAGATCTCTCCTTGCCCCCTGGTTCTGCAAAAAACTGTCATATTTTAAATTTCCCATCACTTTGTGTCTTGATGACAATAGTGTCCAGGACATGGCCAGATCTGGGGGGGAGGGGGTGCTTGAATAGGCTTTGCCCCCCCCCCAAATTTCAGTTGCTTGCTCCTCCCACCCTTCCATCCTTCCTCCACACTGGATGCAGTTCACCATCTGCTGAGTATAGTCTAGGTACAGTCAGCAGAGCTCCATCCGCCAAACACTACACATAGCTGAGATAGCATTCCCTTACACACAGCTATGATCTGCACAATGTGTAGCTGGCTGCTACTTTGCAGTTCTAACCTGTGAAATTCTCTGGTCCTAGGCAATAGCTAGCTACACGCTATGAAGATTGTGGCTGTGTGCAATGAAACTCAATTTCACCTATGTGTAGTGTGTAAGCTATGCTGCCTTTGCCCAGACTTGTGTGCAGTGCATGAATGGGAGAAGCTCTGCCAAATGCCCTGCCAGCAGTGACCCATCTTCTATTTGGCCAGCAGCAGCTCCTGTTTTCTGTCCTGCCAGCAGTGACCCCTGTTTTCTGCCCTGTCAGAATTTACCTAATTCTGCCTGTCAGAATTTACCTGCCAAGTGACCCTGTCCTCTGCCTTGTCAGCAGTGACCCCTGTCCTCTGCCCTGCCAGCAGTGACCCCTGTCCTCTGCCCTGCCAGCAGCCCTGACCCCTGTCCTCTGCCCTGCCAGCAGTGACCCCTGTCCTCTGCCCTGCCAGCAGTGACCCCTGTCCTCTGCCCTGCCAGCAGTGACCCCTGTCCTCTGCCCTGCCAGCAGTGACCCCTGTCCTCTGCCCTGCCAGCAGTGACCCCTGTCCTCTGCCCTGCCAGCAGTGACCCCTGTCCTCTGCTCTGCCAGCAGTGACCCCTGTCCTCTGCCCTGTCCAGTGACCCCTGTCCCTGTCAGCAGTGACCCCTGTCCTCTGCCCTGTCAGCAGTGACCCCTGTCCTCTGCCCTGTCAGCAGTGACCCCTGTCCTCTGCCCTTCCAGCAGTGACCCCTGTCTTCTACCCAGCCAGCAGACACCCCTGTCCTCTGCCCTGACAGAAATGATCTTATCCTTTTGCCCTCCTAGCAGTGACCCTGTCCTCTGCTCTGCAAGCAGTAACCTGTTCTGTCCTCTGCCCTGCCAGCAGTGACCCCTGTCCTCCACCCTACTGACCCCCTTGTTGACCCCTAGCTTTGCCCTGCTGACCCTCTGTACACTGCCCTTCTGACCTCCCCTTCCTATGCTCTCCTGACATTTTTCACTGCACCCCTGTGTCAGAAAGGCAAATAGAGAGATTCAATCTCTCCAGCAGGAACACAGACTGCAACAACATGGCAGTAATCCTTAAGCTTTAAATATACCTAAAGTAGAACTAAAGGCAAAACTTTTATTTATTTTGGATAAGAGTAAAGATAATAAGTAAGGGAGGGTTATAACCCGTCAGCTTTTTTACTTCCATCTGTGTCTCCATTGGGGAGATTTCCCTTCTCTTCTTGTCCTATAGCAAAACAAGAAGTGAGAGGAAGTCCCTCCAAAGTGAGGGAACCCATGGTTGACATCGGGGTCACCAGAACAAGTGTTGGCCTGTTCTGGGAAGATTCCACCTCTATTCCTATGCTGGAGAAAATTCAAAATGTGGCATTTACTTTCACTTTGAGTGAAAACAGTAAACAGGACAAATAGAGAGGGTGAATCTCCTAACAGGGGCACATACAGCAACAAACACCTGTTAGGTGTCCTAATCTCTCTCCACATTATTAAAAAAATATTTTAAAAAATGTTTTACCTATAGTTATCAGTTAATGTTCTTTGAGAATGGGCTCAATGACCAGCACTGATTTCTTTAAATTGTGTCTGAAATACGTTCTCATTTTTTATATTCTATATGAAAATCAATGAACCTTGCTTATAATACTAGCTAAAATCCATGCTCAGCATAAACCTTATTACTGTACATAAGTCAAAGAGAAGGTACAAAAATGCATATCAGGCATCTTCCACATAAGGCAGCATACACAGTATAAATTGCTTAAAACAACTCTGTTTCTACAATAATATGTAAACACAGTGTCCCTCTGCAAAAGAAGATTTGATTGTAAAACCTCATCTTGTAAAACAACCCATTCAATTTAAAATAGAAATGAAAAGCAAAACATTTGTGTTTAGATAAAAAAATAATTATAAATACCTGTTTTCCTTTTTTTATACCCTCTGTTCTTAGCTGCATAAGAGCTAGGGAAGGAGAAACAGGAGCACACTAATCTTCCCAGTGAATGGCTGTGCAGGGAGGGTGTTAGCACAAGTCTGATCATTGCAGGAGAGCACACTGAGTTTACAGCTATAGAACTGACAATGGTGTGTTCTCCTGCTTAGTGTGGTCAGTTTTTAATAAGAAACCAGAAGGACTGGCAGGAATACCAGGGATTTCACACAAAGGAAGCAATACAAAGAGCACAGGATACCTTTTCATACAAGTACATGGTACAGCAGGCACATATCAGGAATATGAGATGTTGGGTTTACATATTCTTTAATATTCAGCTCCCATCTGCTGTCCATGGTGCTGATCTCTACTGTATTCAAAAGAAACTGCAGTTTAAATAAACTCAAAAATCTGACACTTCTTTAAGTGACATACTCCTGATTCCCTGCGGCATTCAGTGGTTCCTCCTGCTGGCCATATGTCACTACATGACACAGTAGTGATGTAAGGGCTGGATAGAGGAACCTTTGAATGCAGCAGGGGACCGATAATATGACATCGCTGAAACTGTCAAGTACTAGACATCCTTCAAGTAGCAATTTCTCCTAAATGCCGCAGAGACCAGAAGCATAAGCAGCGTGACAGGTAAGTATTAAGCATCTTCTTTTGCAGGGAGAACTTCATTTGCATTTTACCTATGGTACAAAGTCTCCTTAATTATCAGAATTTAAAACAAACTCTCTGTATCCTCGATCTAAGCTAACAGGGTTCAAGTGAGTGGCAATCTCCCTGCAGTTATTTTCTCTCCAAAACCAATGAATGGTGGAACTTCCTGACTATCATCTTGGACATTTTGTGTATGATATAAAGGGAGAGTGATTCCTTCTGATGTGAAATAGCATTATTTCTGGTTATGTTTAAATTGATTTTATCTTATTAAATTGGTGTCATTCTGGACTCCAACCTATCCTTCCAGCCCCAAGTCCAATCTTTAACAAACTCATGCAGACTCCACCTTCGCAACATCGCCAAAAATATGCCCATTCCTAACCCCAGAAACCACTAAACAGCTCATCCACTCCCTCATCATATCATGACTCGACTACTGCAACTCCCTCCTCACTGGCCTGCCTCGCTGCTGGGTATCCCCGCTTCAGTCGATCCTGAATACGGCTGCCAGACTCATTCACCTTTCCAACCGCTCCGTCTCCGCCACCCCCCTCTGCCAATCCCTCCACTGGCTTCCGATTGCGCAACGGATCAAATTCAAAATCCTAACACTGACGTACAAAGCCATCCACCATACTGCCCCGTACTACATCACTGACCTAATATCCAAGTACCGCCCAGCACGCACACTCCGCTCCTCGCAAGACCTCCTTCTCTCTAGTTCCCTGGTCTCTTCCTCCCATGCCCGCCTCCAGGACTTCTCCAGGGTGTCACCCATCTTCTGGAACTCCCTGCCCCAACCCATCAGATTATCACCTACTCTCCTCTCCTTTACGCGCACCCTGAAAACCCATCTCTTCAGGGAAACCTACCCCACCCCCTGCTAATTTGCTGACCTCCTCCACTCTTCCTACCACTCTATCCCCCACAGCTATCTCCTCCTGTGCCACCATCCCCTCCCTCCTAGATTGTAAGCTCGAAAGAGCAGGGCCCTCAATCCCCTCATGTTTTGCATTGTATTGGTATTGTTCTGTCACATGTTCTGTCCCCCTTTGTAATGTACAGCGCTGAGCGAACTATTGGCGCTTTATAAATACTGTATAATAATAATAATTAAATTTATATATTTTTATTTTTTGCAAAGTCTAATATTTAAGGTGCCTATAAAGTCCATCTTTTTTTTTCTGTATCCAATTGTGCTTTCAATTGATGGGATGTGGACCCCTTTCTTGCTTACTACAACAGGCCAGATATATGTCCCATCCTATAAAAATGAGAACAGGAATACATTAGTACCCATTTCTACAAAAAAATTAAAAGGAAAAACACAAGACAGCAAATTAAAAATTATTTATTTAAATAAAATGCAATCACATACTTACTTGCTTTTAAAATAAAGTTTAGTATTGTCCCCAGAAGTAAACCTATTGCCTGCAAATCTGTACATGCCACACTCCTGCCCTAAGTAACAGACTCCTAGCAATTTGGTCACTACTCTGGATCCTCAGCTTGCAGTAAGGGAATGTGTCATTGGGTGGCGGGAGTGCAGTGTGTACAGATCGGCTGGCAATAGGTCATCATATTGTGGATTTACATTACCGGACAACTTGAATGACAGTTGCAGCTCTTGATGCTGTGATTTATTTCAGGGAACATTAATGAACTTTACTTTAAAAGCCAGTATGTATGTGTTTGTGTTTTATTTTATTAAAGGATTTTTAATTTGGTCTTGGTGTTTGCATTTTACTTTCATCTCTTTGCGGGAATGGGTAGGGGGTACCAATGTAGCGAGCAGATATCTGGACACCCCCATATTATAAAGGAGCCTTCCAGATTTCACATTGAAGTCCACCAAGCCATTTATTATTACCCCCACCTGCTTTTTTGGGCACACAGGCGTGAGGTAAAGGCACTTTCACTCAACATTGAGACAAGGGTACTTTGCAAAGGGATAGGTGGCAAATGAGGTTTAATGTTAACAAATGAAAAGTTATGCACTTGTGGGTGTAAAAACATGCATGCATCATACATTCTAGTAGGAACATGGCTGTGGGGAGTCAATGGCTGAGAGGGATCTGGGTGTTCTGGTAAATCATATGCTTAAGGAGGTATTAAACCCAAAACAAAAAATGGAATATATTGCAGCTTACCAATCATTATATAAATAAAGGCAACATTTTTTTTAGTTTTGGACAAAGTGGAGATGGAACAACTGTCAGTTTGTATTGCTGTCTGTACCACTCTTATGCAGATTCAATCTCTTTATTTGTCCTGTTTAAAATGATCAGTGAAAGTTAAAGAAAATATAAAAAATTGGGTTGTCCCCAGAAAAGTAATAGATGGGAAATCTTCCAATGGGTAAAACACACCTCCTGTATTAGAGTGCCCTCACTCTGGATGAATGAGCACAGGGGGCACCTTTGTACAGCTGTTTTGTCAGTCTGGGGGGAGGGGAGTGTTAGATGCAATAGAAGATTTAAATTCACTAATAAATTGAAGCCAAACTACTCTAATAATACTCTATAAGCAGTTACAGCAAACAGTATTTTGCTTTTGAGATAAAGGGTTGTGTTAAATGGTTTTTCTCATCCCTGTAATTGATACAGTCTGCTGGAGAGATTGTTCTTTTGAAAAGCAACAGGCCTACTGCCTGGATTAGTAAGACCTCATGTGTTTGGTTTTGGGCACCAGTTCACAAAAAATGTTGTTGGAGAAAGTGTAGATAAGAACAATAAAACTGATAAGAGGCATGGGGGAACTCAGCTATGAGGAAAGGTTAGCAGAACTGAATTTATTCACTCCTGACAATAGGCGATTAAGCAGGGATATGGTCGCCATGTGCAAATATATAGGTGGTCCATATAGTGAACTTGGTATAGAATTACTTCATTTCAGTTCATTACAGAGGGACAAGGGGGTACTCTTTACATCTAGCAGAGGAAAAGAGATTTAACTCCACAAATGGAAAGGCATCTTCACAGCAAGAGCTGTAAGAAACATGACATCTGGAAGTCAATTTTTATTGAAGATCTGTACTAATAGTGCTGAACTTCTAATCAATGGCAGATGACCTTTGTAGACTTGCTGGAAACTTAAGC